GGACAGGATTTTTATTCGCCAGACGTTTCGAAGTCAGTCGCGGATTCTTCATCAGGGACATTAACATAAACAGTAGCAGAAACGGGTAACTTATGCACAAGGAGTTTCAGTATTTATAAGATACAGTCACTACGCTACTGCCTACTTATGACAATTAACGACTCACCTATCGACGATAATTGCCCGCTCGTACGCTAATTGCTTATTGACCGGCGTGCGGGTCGTGACCTGCGGAATTTTCATCACATGAGGTGGAATTGGACGTGATAAAAGGTCAGTAGGCCACGGCCGTGGGCCGATTAATAAGCAATTAGCGCACAAGCGAGCAATAATCATCCATAAGGGAGTAGCTAATTGTCATAAGTATGCAGTAGCGTAGTGACTGCATCTTATTAATACTGAAACTCCTTGTGCATAAGTTACCCGTTTCTGCTACTGTTTGCGCTAATGTCTCTGATGAAGAACCCGCGAGGGACTTCGAAACGTCTGGCGGATGAAAATCTTGTTACGGCAATTGCATCTTCTTCTTCTCAAAATAAATTTGTAGTCGAAGTTTGACAGTTTGGCTTGGATGCTCCCAGTTGCGAATACGTCACATACCCTGACTTCATACCCCTTCCATGCACTTCTTTCATTCAAATTGATATAGTCCGGTGGGTAGCAGGGCTGATCAACCTCCAAGGCCAAATACCGCTTTTCAAACATGAGTAACTTAAATTGCACATTTCCAAAATCCCGACGCTTCGAGTTTAATATTCGAAGTCCACAGACTCTCCAGCCAGGAGCCGTTAGAATCTGGATAAGCCCTTAGATGCCAGAGGGGGTTTCTGTACAGACTACGCAAATAGGCAAGCATCATCTGCCAATGTACGGTGTTGCAATGCCTCTAAAATGCTTGCGTAAATCTTGTTAAGAGCAGGCCTAGACTGCTAGCGCAGTCAAAATAAACTTCTACTTCAGGGTGCTGCATATAAACCTTAAAATTTGTGGACAAAAAGTGCACTCGCACGTAAAAAAAAAACTGGGCTCTAATTGCAGTTGATGTGGCCTGACTAAGAGGCAGTTTGCCGGCAGGGTCTTTAAACACACCCCACTTATGTGATGAGGACTTGCCAAGTGGTTGACTGTAAACCAATAAAACTGCTCCATCAAGGGACGTGGTAATTAAGTCCTCCTCCTCGGCCATGTACGCGCTCACTTCTACCCGGGCTAAATTTGCTTACCTGGTCTCGTACTCCCAGTTTTCCGGTTGCAATTAGTACCCTGTTGCCAAGGTGCGGTTTTTATGCTGAAACTAATAACCAGGTCCTCACCCTTTTTATGGCTAAAAGAGTCGAAAACGGTCACTATGGCCATTGCCATGAAGTCAGCTAAACCCCTAGTTAAACCCTTCGATTAGTATGGGTGGGCATAACGGGTGTGCAACCTACGAAACGTTGCGTGCGCAGGATGCGAAACAGCGTAATATTTGGGCCGGGAGGATTATTTTACTATAGTGTTCATCCTTCTGGACACGATACTTTCATATTAAAAATAAGGGAAGGAGATGTTTCAGAGGACCCCGATGCATAGGGCATCTTTTGGTTGATGTGATTTTCTGAAATCTTTTAACGGAGGATATTTACGAGAATGCTGTTACTGTTTCCATGTAATCTGGGAAGTTACAATTCATTTGGCGTTCTGGATTGCATAAAACTGGCTTACTTTATTGTCAGGGGCTTTTTATGTATCCACCTTAACCTATGTTCTAAAGATCTGGAACCCTCCAATAAGATAATTATTCATGACATAATATGTACCTACATGATGGATAGGTTTATTTTCGGTTACTAGACAGCCCTTATCTGGAAACTGTAATGCCTCGCTTAATTTCTCACACTGCGACCGTTATTATGCCTATGTAAAGGGACTCATCAGCTTGAAACCAAATCCATTCGTCAATCCAAACCAAACATCCAAATTTTCAGTAAATTGGAACTACGCTGTTGTCATGATGCGGAGTTTTTTTGGTTTACAGTGCCAGCAATTAGAACTTTATTTACTTGGCTGGATGATCCGCCAGCCATTGATTTTTATAAAGGGCTTCTTCGTATAAACTGAAAGGCTGGCATCCCAAGAAATGTAATTTCAAGGAAAGGCATCCTTTGCTTTTGCTTGAAAAGGGCTTCTTCAGTAAGCAATGCCCAATTTTGGCCGAATACGATGGCAACGCTTTTAATTTAGTTAGCTGTGTTCAGCACCTGCAACATTAAACTGACGTGCAAGTTCACCCCAACCAATGACCAAACGCCTCTGATTACTTAATTTATACATTTAACCTACGGCCCTGAAGAAGGGCGGTTTGGTTCATGCACCTACCTATAATCAAAAATGTATTTATGCCCTAGCTACATGCCTGGATGACTCTAACTTTGCACTGTCAACTCAAAAACCATTTAAAACCCATTCTGACTAATTACTTCCAATAGGAAAAATAGTACGTAGAGAACTTGCTGATGGAGCCCTTTGGGGCTGCATGACCTACCGGGGCATGTCCTCATACGCAATCCCTCCGCAAATTTTAACCACTCAGCATCCATCTTGTGGTTAAGGCAATATGTCGGATTTAGACCTTCCTTTTCCGAAATCGGGGCTTTTGGCAAAGCATAAAGAAGTAAGCAAGAAAGCGAAAATAATGTCCACCTTTACTAACGAAAACTGAAAGGTACCGAAAACTTCCCCTCCAAAAACGATTGTGGTTATAAGAAAAAAATAACATGCTTTGTCTCCTACATGACCCTTAGTAAAGGGCTCAATAGCGGAGTGAAGGGCTGTTTAAGTTTCTGAGCAAAACACACACGCTTTATCTCGCAAGCACGTCGATTCCCTATCCGTTTGCTGGCAAAAAAGCACTAGACTCAATTTGATTAGGTACAGCTGGAAGTAAGCATTGCCGATCTCGGAAGACTATATCTAAAGGCTGTATACGAAAACCTTTTTTTCTGCCGTACTTTATTGCATGACCGTATCTGCATTAAAAAGAAAACCAGCGAGCTGCAAACAGCTGACTCCTTTAATTAAGTCAGCACTGATCTGATATTGAATGGCGCTTATCGATCCAAACTTCTGCTAGAATAAATTACACTCAAACCAGCAGTCAGGTCTACTGTGACCCTAGCGCTCAAATCCAGAGTTTGGTTAACCCGAATAAGCTTGCGATATGCGCTGAAATCTATGGAACCTTAATCCGGATGCTTAAATCTGTTTCAAACCACGTGCTGCTACATTGTAGGTAATATATCGTCGATTTATACGCCGGGAAAATGTGGTTCTGCTAAGAAAATTTTCCTCAGCCGAATATTCTACTTAAGAGGACAAAAAGTAGCCAAAATTGTAATACTGAATACACTGAAATTCGTTTACCTGTTTTTCAAAAGAGGGAACAAAATTTGGTTGTAAGGTCCATTTTTAATGAAGCACTTTCTGCAATTTCGATTTTTAAGACATCTAATTTCAACCATAATGCGTTTGGTAATTCCTGGTTCATGACAGAAAAAGTGTCTTCTGAAATGCTCATTGAGTCTACTTTTTGATACTTTGCTCCGATATCAATTTTGAAATTTTGTGTATGAAAACTGACAGGCCTCAGTACGTGCTACAACCCTTCTGAATACCAGAATTTTGAATAGTATTTGAAAGTTAAAAGTTTCTTGTTTTTTAAAATAGTATTTTACATCCATCCATCACACTTTTTGAGCTGCTATCGAAATTTATATTTTTAGTAAACATAAAAAAACTAATGGGCTATAAATATACATGAAAATCTTCTAAATGTATGTACTACATAGAGGACAATTTCACCTGCTCAATTGTTCGATTGCAATTAAAAATATGCGAGTTTTAAGACAGTATTTAAGGCGGGTGTTGTGGATAGCAAATACACTGATCTCACTAAGGTTTAGCAATTTGAGTAGTTGCGAAAATTCTCATCAGCGAATTTTTTAGGTTTTTTCCTGTCTTACGGGTTTCGGAAGGCGCCCAAGAGGTGCCTTACCAATTAACCCAATTTTTAAAACTGCCCGTAAACCGACAATAAATAAGGCAGTTGCTAAGCCTTCGCAGTCTTTAGGTATATTCTGATCGGACCATGACATTTATATGGG